GGACCATGCTACTCTCGGGTCGAGTTCATACCAATAATAGTTATGGGCTTAGACATCTAATCCAACAATAACTACTTCCAAGAAGGTCAGTCGAGAGGGTGTGTAAAGTACGCAACTGTATAGACCCGAAATTTTTAGGGATCAAAATTCTACTAATTTACCTATTAATATTCAAAAACTATGCAAAATGCATTTTATTTAGTCAATAAAAATAGTGTATACATGAATGGAAAAAGTACAGACTTGCCTATTAAGCCCTTATGCATGGTGCTTTTTTCGTCTTCTTATATTCACGTACAAACCTCCTCCTCCACCATTTTCTCTCAAAGTACACACCTTCCGCCTCCACTATCCGCCCTCCGGCCTGGTCACCGCCGCCAGCCGCCTTTGCCTCCAACTCGGCGAGAACAACCATTAATTAAGGATTTTTCTTAAATCAATTTTGTGTATGATTATTAGATTTTTTGCTGAGAGTCTGGCTCTAATAGCTTTTAATGACACTGAACATAGTTTTGCATTCCCTTCTTTTTTCTTCAACTACTGAGTTCTTATTTGCTTTGAAGTTGCTTATTACTCCCTTGGGTATTTGGGCGTTCATGTAAGGTGATTATTGCAATTTGTATTTATATTATTGCAATTTGTATTTACCTTTTAATATTCAAAAACTATGCAAGCTGCATTTTATTTAGTCAATAAAAATAAAATATACCTAAATGGAAAAAGCACACACTTGCCTATTAAGCCCTTATGCATGGTGTTTTTTTTCCGTCTTCTCCTTATATTCATGTATAAACCTCCTCCTCTACCATATTCTCTCGAAGTACACACCCTCCACCACCACCATCTGCCCTCCGGTGGTCACCGTCGCCGGCCGTCTTCGCCTCCAACTCGGTCAAAACTTAGTGACAACAACCATTAGGTAAGGTTTTTTCTTAAATCGATTTTGTGAATCAAATTTGTGTACGATTACTAGATTTCTTGTTGAGAGTCTGGTTCTAACAAATTTTAAGGACACCGAACATAGTTTGGCATTCCCTCTTTTTTCTTCTGCCAATGAGTTCTTATTTGTTTTGAAGTTGCTTATTACCCCTTAGGGTATTTTGACGTTCATGTAAGGTGATTATTGCAATTTGCATTTACTTGTTAATATTCAAAAACTATGCAAAATGCATTTTATTTAGTCAATAAAAATAATATATATCTAAATGGAAAAAGCACACACTTGCCTATTAAGCCCTTATGCATGGTGTTTTTTCCGTCTTCTCCTCCTTATATTCACGTATAAACCTTCTCCTCCACCATCTTCTCTCGAAATACACACCCTCCGCCACCACTATTTGCCCTCTGGTCTAGTCACCGTCGTCAACCGTCTTCGCCTCCAACTTGGTCAAAACTTAGTGACAACAACCATTAGGTAAGGTTTTTTCTTAAATCAATTTTGTGAATCAAATGTGTGTATAATTACTAGATTTCTTGTTGAGAGTTTGGTTCTTATAGATTTTAACGACACTGAACATAGTTTTGCATTCCCACTTTTTTCTTCGGCCACTGAGTTCTTATTTGTTTGAAGCTGCTTATTACCCCCTTGGGTATTTGGACGTTCATGTAAAGTGATTATTGCAATTTGCATTTACCTGTTAATATTCAAAAACTATGCAAAATGCATTTTATTTAGTCAATAAAAATAATATATACCTAAATGGAAAAAGTACACACTTGCCTATTAAGCCCTTATGTTTGGTGTTTTTTCCGTCTTCCCCTTATATTCACGTATAAACCTTCGCCCCCACCATCTTCTATCCAAGCCTCCGCTTCCACCATCTGCCCTCCGGTCTGGTCACCGCCTCTGTCCGTCTTCGCCTTCAACTCAGTGACATCAACTATTAGGTAAGGTTTGTTCTTAAACTAATTTTGTGAAATCAAATTTGTGTACTATTATTACTAGATTTATTGTTGAGAGTCCGGTTCTAATAGATTTTAACATAGTTTTGCATTCCTTTATTTTCTTCGGCCACTGAGCTCTTATTTGCTTTGAAGTTGCTTATTACTCCCTCGGCTAGTTGGACGTTCATGTAAGGTGATTATTGCAATTTGCACCGACTTGGGGTTTGATAGAATTTTATTTTAATTCTGATTTACCGATTCTTTATATATAATTCTCTAATTGTGATTCTTTAGTACAAGTATCACTTTGATTAGGCACATCGAAACACCCCTAAAATTCATTGAAAACTTGTACAAAATATGGAAACCCGACACGACCATTTGAACTACTAATAGGGTGTTTGGATGTGCATAGTATTGCCAAATGTGTTCAATCAGAATAATTAGATGGTTGATCATCGTTGGGGATATATTATTCGTTTTACATATATTTTACTAATCAGTTTCTTACAACTATATTATTACATGGATATCAAAATCTAATTATTTGCTGAGAATCTTTCGAAAGATCAAGCAGATGAATCTTTCGAGTTTGGCGCGACTCTCGTCTCTCTCAACTGTATTCGCATCAAGAATCCTCAATCGCTCCATTGCCTTCAAACCCATTTCTTGTTCTTCGTCAGTTTCCGTTCCCCATGCACCCACTTCATTAAACCCTAACCTCCCCCTATTTCTCCGACCACCCACCTTCACCGCAACCTTATCCGACCTGCAAAAATGGCAGAATTGGGCAAAAACCCTAGCGTCATCCATCGGTTCATCTTTCACAGATTCAGATAACGGCCCAGACTCCGAAATTTTACACAGAGAACTCAATTGGCTGATCGAAGATGCTCTACAAAACCCTAAACCATTACTAACTCGCAACGACTCGGAACACGACATTGTTTTGCAATTAAGAGCTGATTTGGGTGATCTTTACACTTTATGGAAGCAAAGGATTGAAAAGAGAAGGCCGTTTCAGTATATTGTAGGATGTGAGCATTGGAGGGATTTGGTTCTAAGTGTCGAAGAAGGTGTTCTGATTCCAAGGCCTGAAACAGAGTTGATAATCGATCTGGTGGATGATACGATCAAGCAGAATGCAGAGTTGAACGAAGGTTTGTGGGTGGATTTAGGGACTGGTTCTGGCGCTATAGCTATTGGAATCGGGAGGATTTTAGGGGATTCCGGGAGAGTTATTGCAATCGATATAAGTCCTATTGCTGTTCAAGTTGCTTCATTCAATGTGAACAGGTATAATTTACAGGTAATGTGTGTATCTTTTGAATTTTCACTTATATCTTCATCTTCTCCAATGTAACATGAACCGATAATAGTATTAGATGGCGTGAACGATTGTATGTTTTGAAATTCACTTGTGTGAACGATTGTATCGTCATCTTCATCAGGATAAAATCTCTGTGAAACAAGGTTCATGGTTTGATCCATTGATTGAGTTTGAAGGAAGAGTTGCAGGTTTTGTGAGCAATCCACCATACATACCAAGCGGACACATCAATGGACTCCAAGCTGAAGTTGGTAGACATGAACCAATACTTGCATTAGATGGTGGTGAAGATGGCATGTCTGATCTTCTTCATCTCTGTAATGGTGCTGCTTTGATGCTAAAACCTGGTGGATTTTTTGCTTTTGAGGTAATGTTGTTTGACATTCATCATAAAGTTGAAAAGCTTTATTTAATTGATATATCATTAATCATTTATTATTATCTTTAATCTTATTTGTGTTTCTTGGATGTAGACAAACGGTGAAGATCAATGCTTGTTTCTTGTAGATCATATGGAAACCATTCACCATGACAGCTTCCACAATTTAAAGATCATACCAGATTTTGCTGGAATCCAGCGTTTTGTAACTGGGATTAGAATCTAGATCATGAATTATTCAAACTTTAGTTGTAATCTATTGCAATTATTCCTCAAAATTCTATGGTGTTTCTCTCCATTTGAGCATCTTGCATCATACATTTGGGGGAAGAAAATCCATTTTTATAATGAAAAACTTGACTCAATACATACAAAGGGAGCTGTTTTACAACCTTTCACTCCACCCAAAACTAACCAACCTATTACAAGTTTTACAACCACTAACTAAATAATTAACTAACTAATGTGACCATCGAGACATACGTGTCCATTGTTGCTTCACCTTCTTTGGTGAAAACTTAAAAGGGGTCCAATTCTTTCTACTTTTAGAAGATTCACAAAACAAACCAGAAGCAACAGCTTGTTGAAGCCACAAATCAAATTCTTCCTCTTCATCTGTCATTTGAGCATCCAAATCCCATGGATATAAGTTTGACTTGCACTTTTGACTTTTCTCCAATCCAACCATGTTTACTTGAAAAGTTGGTCTATGTGTATTTGGCCTACACGCCATTCCTTGACAAATCGCCCATTCTGACACATCGAATATCTTGCTTTGAGCACAAACAAATGCCCGTGGAATTTCCATCTAAATTAATACACAATTTACAAAATTACATGTTAAATTCTAGGGTTAATGACATACTATGGCAACAAAGTGACAAACTATCTAAATTTACTCATTTAGGGGTTGTTTGATATGCCTCAGATTTATTCAGATTGATTGATATCATAATTAGAAGCCTCTAATTCAGTCCTATAGTCCCTGATATGCCTCTCACTCTGTCTAATAAGGAGGTTGAGTGAGTCTGACTCAATCAGCAACTATCAAACAACCCCTTAGTCACCAAAGTTCTTATCGAGTTCAATAAAGCCCTAAACATCAAATTTTGTTTTAATTGTTGGCAACCCCACATAAAATAGCAACAAGCTATCTAAAATTTGTTCATTGTCTTTTGAAAATCTTGAAAAATTTCAAACCTTTTGAGATTGATCTGACCCAAGTGAGCCTTTGTATTCAACCCATCCATCTCCATCCTTGGCTTGATGATACTGACAACAATCCTGAAACATACAAGCCTCATTAGTTTATTTAAATATAAAAATAAACAAAAAGGTTGAATCTTTTATCTTTTTAACAAAGACCCACCTGGCACCATCTTGCCTTTGACTTTGACCGATTTGTACATACCCATATATGCATTAGGTCACATTTTGTGCAATGTATACGTCTTGATTCATCAGAAAAGTAATCACTTGTCTCTTGATGAGATGAACTAGCAGATTTGTGAAACAAAGTTTTTGAGTCTTGGTTTCTCAAGTGATCATCATAGTCCCTTTTCTTTATAGAATCAGAAAGAATCTGAAAATTGGTGTGATTATG